AAGGGGCGTGCTGATTATGTAAAGGGGGCCTGATGTGTTAAGGGGGCACTGTGATGTGTATGTAAAGGGGGCACTGTGATGTGTAAAGGGGGCATGCTGATGATGTAACAGGGGGCCTGATGATGTAACGGGGGTCTGATGATGTGTTAACGGGGTAATACGATGTGTAAAAGGCACCTGGTGATGTGTAAAGGGGGCACTGTGATGTGTAAAGGGGGCGCTGTGATGTGTAAAGGGGGCATGGTGATGATGTAACGGGGGCCTGATGTGGTATGGGGGCAATATGATGTCTAAAGAGCACCTGTTGATGTGTAAAGGGGGCGCTGTGAAGGGGAAATGAGGACAATGTTGGACTGTTTTAATTAGGGGACTGTCATATAAAGGGGTCTTTGATGTAAAGTGGGACTGTAGACATTTAAAGGGGGGGTTGTAATGTGAAGGGGGGAGCTGGGGACAGTGATGTAAAGAGGGTGCCATCATGTGAAGGGTAGGCTGAAGACACTGATGTACGGGGAAGGGGGGGCTGTGATGTAAAAGGGGGCTGTGATGTAAAAGGGGGCTGTGATGTAAAAGGGGGCTGTGAAGTGCTGTAGCACAGACATGAGATTCGGACCTCTGCTGTCAGGACATTTTACCAGCTGGACCTCCATAAATGTTAATTCAAGACCCCTGAATTACCTCAACAAGAGAGCAATACCAGTGGGATGACCCTATGGGCCCAGCGCTGTTTTTCCACCTTTTTCCTCCATGGGGTCTGATTTTGGCACACTGCTGCGGACCTCATCGATTGGTTTGCTTTCATCGAACGGAATTGCTCCTCATACTCCAACTTTTACAAAAATCTATTTTAATTTCCTTTTTTTTTTCCTCTTTAGTTTGAAACCCTCCGAGCATAACTGTGCGCTCCCGGAAAGATCGGGTCAGACTGAAATCCTAAACGGAGAAAGTAATTTGTAGCTTTTGCTTTCTTCTGCAGACGGACGGTGAAATTGGCCACCTGCGGCCTCCGCGCTACTTCATAATGGGCTGCTTTGGCCTGATCCCCACCGCGGGCCGCTGAGCTCTAAATCAAGGCGGCGTAAAAGTAAAAACCTGAAAATTTATAGGAGTAACAATTTTACAACATGCCGAGTGCTGGGGGGGGGGGGGGGGGGGTGGGGGTGTAAGACTTCAGGTATGAGTTATGTTCGTCCTCCTCTCCGCTCACACATGATCGCTGTGGCTGTGCTGCCTATAATGGAAAAAAGATGTTCGAGTATTTTCTGCATCAGCCAACGAATATAAACTTCAAGATAGACTAATCCGACCTCAGAGATCCCGTCCGGCCAAACGAGGGGGCGGGGGGCTGTAGGGCCAGATTTCCGACAGAATGTATCACGCGTACTAAGAGGACAGCGAACAGCGGTGGTGGGACCGGTCCAACGCACGACACCACTATGGCTCTACGTCCGGATAATTCTACGGGGACGACGGTGTAGATTTAGAGTCATGTCAGGCTCAACTCCAAAGACCTGCTGGGAGGTGAATCGGCTCCTCTCTAAACTGTCCCTAGTATGTGTATGTATGACTGTGAGTTAGGGACTGACAACTCATGGGGCCCCCCGGGCAATAGGGGATCATGGGGCCCCTGTGTCCTTGCCCAAACTCAAAAAAGCCTATGAAAAACGGTACCAAGGGCATCTCATGGAGCCCCCTACTGACCCCGAGCCCTCGGCAGTGCCCGAGTTTCCAAATGGTCAGTCCGCCCCTGGTTAGGGACCTTAGATTGTATGCTCCTCGGGGGTGGGGACTGATGTGAATGTACAATATATATATGTAAAGTGCTGCGTAAATTGACGGCGCTATATAAGTACAGTAATACCTCGGTTTACAAATTTAATTCGTTCTGCAGGACTTTTCGTATAGCGCAAAATTCATAAACCGAAACGCCGTTTGCCATAGGAATGCATTGAAAACCAAATAATCCGTTCCAGAGGTCAGGAAAAAGTAAACACTACTACAATACCGCATGAGTTATTTTATCAAGTCATTATTTTATTTTAGTATTTTAGTAGTGACAACCATGTGTTAATGTTTCAGCTGTCAGCGGCTGAGTGTAAAAGAATTGCTGGCAATTAAAAAAAATAATTTTAAAAACCGGCGTGGGGTTCCCATCCATGCCAAGCCCTTCAGGTCTGGTATGGATTTTGAGGGGGACTCCCACGCCAAAATGTAAAAAAAAAAATGGCGTGGGGGTCCCCCCCCAAAACCCATACCGGACTCTTGTCTGAGCATGCAGCCCGGGAGGTCAGGAAAAGGGGGGGGGGGGGGCGAGCGAGCACCCCCCCTCCTGAACCATACCAGGCCACATGCCCCCCTCAAAGCACCTTGTCACCATGCTGATTGGGACAAGGGCCTCTTCCCCACAACACTGGCCGGTGGTTGTAGGGATCTGCGGGCAGGGGGCTTATCGCAATCCCCAGATCCCGCCCCCCCCATGTGAATGAGTATGGGGTACACATTCACAAAAAACAAAAAGTTTAGTGTGAAAAAAGACAAGACACGGTCTTTGACAAGTTCTTTATTAAAAGAAAAAACTAAAATAATGTCCCCCGGAGTAGATCCAACGTCAATCACGATGCCCAACGCCGACCCAAAAAATGGAAAAAAAAAAAAAAAAAAAAAAAAGTCCCGTTCCCGACGATGGCTGCCAGCCCTCTGCCTCTGAGCTGGCTTGACAGTTCTTAAATATCTAAGGGGCAGGCCCACCTGTGGACATCAACCGAGTGACCCCACCCCATTAATGTCACATGGTGTGGGGTCACATGCATGATGTCATTGGGTGGGGGTGGAGTGGGCCCCCGCCCCTTACCTATTTAAGAACTGTCAAACCAGCTCAGGGGCAGAAGGCTGGCAGCCATCATCGGGAACGGGACCTTTTTTTTTTTTTTTTTTTTTTTTTTGGGTTGGAGGTGGGCATCGTGATTAACGTTGGATCTACTGCAGGGGACATTCTTTTAGTTTTTTCTTTTAATAAAGGACTTGTTAAAGACCGTGTCCTGTCTTTATTCACACTACATTTTTTGTTTTTTGTGAAGGAGTATCAGGACCATGTACCCCATACTCATTCACATGGGGGGGGATTTGGGGGCCCCCTTGTTAAAGGAGGCTTCCAGATTCCGATAAGCCCCATGCCCGCAGACCCCCACAACCACCGGCCAGGGTTGTGGGGAAGAGTCCCTTGTCCCCATCAGCACTCCCCCTATGTTGAGAATAAGGGTCTGGTATAGATTAGGGGGGGGACCCCTACGCCATTTTTTAAAAAATTTTGGCATGGGAATTCTCAAAATCCATACCAGACCCGAAGCGCTTGGTATGGATGGGAGGGGGGACCCCGCGCCGTATTTTTTTTATTTATTATGGTGCTAGTTTTTTTATTATGTTGCTGTGTTTTTTTTTTCTTCACTACAGCCCAGAAGTTCAGCTGTCACTTTCCCGCCAGCTAAAAGAGAGAGAGTTTTCTTTTAGTTTATTTCCCCGAGTTAAAAGAAAAAAAAGTTTTCTTTAACTGTGGGGAAAGTGACAGCTAATCCTGCGAGCTATAGTGAAGGAAAAAAAAAGACAGCAATTGCATTTAAAAATCAGCACCGACATACACTTCGTATTGCGAAACAAATTCGTAAACTGAGGCATTATTCTCAATGGATTTTCATTCGTAAACCGAAAATTACGTTAACCGAGGCATTCGTAAACCGAGGCACACCTGTACTTGGTGCCATAAATCTTGTATAATAATAATAGTGTGCCAGTATGCTTGTGTCAAACCTACAGAATCTTGAGGGACCCCTACAGAAAGAGGGAGTGGAGAGGAGGAGCCAGATTTATAGGTAACGCTGAAGGAGCGCTGCGATAGGTAGGAGATAGCAGAGTCTCGGGGGCCAAGAGCGGTCAAGTAGTAAGTGTGGAGTAGTGCCCATTGGTTGGGATGAGTATGGAGTAGTGGCCATTGGTTGGGATTAGTATGGAGTAGTGGCCATTGGTTGGGATGAGTACGGAGTAGTGGCCATTGGTTGGGATGAGTACGGAGTAGTGGCCATTGGTTGGGATGAGTACGGAGTAGTGGCCATTGGTTGGGATGAGTACGGAGTAGTGGCCATTGGTTGGGATGAGTACGGAGTAGTGGCCATTGGTTGGGATGAGTACGGAGTAGTGGCCATTGGTTGGGATTAGTATGGAGTAGTGGCCATTGGTTGGGATGAGTACGGAGTAGTGGGCCATTGGTTGGGATGAGTACGGAGTAGTGGCCATTGGTTGGGATGAGTACGGAGTAGTGGCCATTGGTTGGGATGAGTACGGAGTAGTGGCCATTGGTTGGGATGAGTACGGAGTAGTGGCCATTGGTTGGGATGAGTACGGAGTAGTGGCCATTGGTTGGTGAGTAGTACGGAGTAGTGGCCATTGGGGGATGAGTACGGAGTAGTGGCCATTGGTTGGGATGAGTACGGAGTAGTAGCCATTGGTTTTATCAGTTAGTAGATCATTAGTGAGGTTTAGTAGGGCGGCATAAATCCTGTATAATAATAATAGTGTGCCAGTATGCTTGTGTCAAACCTACAGAATCTTGAGGGACCCCTACAGAAAGAGGGAGTGGAGAGGAGGAGCCAGAGTTATAGGTAACGCTGAAGGAGCGCTGCGATAGGTAGGAGAAAGCAGAGTCTCGGGGGCCAAGAGAGGTCAAGTAGTAAAAGTATGGAGTAGTGGCCATTGGTTGGGATGAGTACGGAGTAGTGGCCATTGGTTGGGATGAGTACGGAGTAGTGGCCATTGGTTGGGATGAGTACGGAGTAGTGGCCATTGGTTGGGATGAGTATGGAGTAGTGGCCATTGGTTGGGATGAGTACGGAGTAGTGGCCATTGGTTGGGATGAGTACGGAGTAGTGGCCATTGGTTGGGATGAGTACGGAGTAGTGGCCATTGGTTGGGATGAGTACGGAGTAGTGGCCATTGGTTGGGATGAGTACGGAGTAGTGGCCATTGGTTGGGATGAGTACGGAGTAGTGGCCATTGGTTGGGATGAGTACGGAGTAGTGGCCATTGGTTGGGATGAGTACGGAGTAGTGGCCATTGGTTGGGATGAGTACGGAGTAGTGGCCATTGGTTGGGATGAGTATGGAGTAGTGGCCATTGGTTTTATCAGTTAGTAGATCATTAGTGAGGTTTAGTAGGGCAGTGTCAGTGGAGTGTAGTGAGCGAAAGCCAGACTGTAAAGGGTCAAGAAGGTTGTTGTCGGTGAGGTGGGAGCTCAGGCGATTGTAGACTAAGTGTTCAAGGAGTTTAGAGGTGAATGGCAGCAGGGAGATGGGTGTTAAGTTGTTCAGGTTGGTGGGGTCCAGGGAGGGCTTTTTAGGTATGGGAGTGATGTGTGCATGCTTTAGAGGGGAGGGGAAGACACCATTAGAGAGGGAGAGATTGAAGATGTGTGAGTGAGGGAGCATAGGATGGAAGAAGAGGGTGACCGTACTAGTTGTGAGGGGACAAGATCCAGGGGGCAGGTAGTGAGACGGGCTTCTGAGAAAACCTTCATGACCTCTTCAGTAGTAGCAAGGTCAGAAGAGGAAAGTGTTGAGGGAGGTGTAGTATAAGGTATGCTAAGTGGGATGGATGTCTGTGCAGTGGAGATGCCCCTACGAATTGCGTCAATCTTGTTTTTGAAATTATTTGCAATCTCGTAAGCAGTGAGTGAGGTACTGGGTGGAGGTGGAGAAAGTAGAGAAGAGATGACGAGGACTGTATGACAAGGTATTAATAAGAATGACAAAGTCGTCTTGTTTGGTAACATGAAGGGAGGAATTGTATGTTAAGAAAGCAGATTTATATCGGGTGAATGCTTGCTGAGATTTGGTTTTACGCCACAATCACTCCAGTGCACGACTGTGTCGTTTAAGATTTCTGGTGTGGTCAGTCTGCCAAGGTTGTAATGGTCAGGGACTGATGCTTCGTGTTGTTAGAGAAGCAAGCGAGTCTAATGCGGATGAAAACCAACTGTTGACAGCAGTAGCCAGGACAGTGGAGAGATATTGTCATAGAGTTGGTCAGTTGCAGAGTGGAAAGGAGCAGGGTTCAAGTTGTGAAGGTTTCTGCGGGTAATTGTTTGCTGCTTGGAGAGAGAGGTGATTGAAGACGAGGACACCGTGAAGGTGATGAGATTGTGATCAGAGAGAGGAAAGGGGGTGTTTGTGAGGTTGTAGGGAGTGCAACAATGGGAGAAAACAAGGTCTAATGTATTCCCATCAGAGGGAGTGGAGGACCATGGAGGACTGTGTCCATCAGAGTGAGTGGAGGACTGTGTCCATCAGAGTGAGTGGAGGACTGTGTCCATCAGAGTGAGTGGAGGACTGTGTCCATCAGAGTGAGTGGAGGACTGTGTCCATCAGAGTGAGTGGAGGACTGTGTCCATCAGAGTGAGTGGAGGACTGTGTCCATCAAAGTGAGTGGAGGACTGTATACATTGTGCTAATGCAAAAGATGAGGTTAGGTTGAAGAGTTGGGATGCAGCTGGGTTGTTGACATTAATGGGGATGTTAAAATCTCCAAGAATGATAGTGGGTAGTTCAGAGGAGAGAAAGTAGGGTAGCCAGGTGGAGAAATCATCAAGAAAGCGAGACACAGGTACAGGAGGCTGATAGATCACTGCAATCCTCAGAGAAATGGGAGAAACAGCCGGATGCAGTGAGTCTCAAAAGAAGAGAATGATAGTGGGAGGGTTATGGAGGACTTGAAAGGTGCTCAGTGGGGATAGAAGCAAACCAACTCCACCACCTTTCCAACCACTGGGTAGTTGCTGTTATGGAGCTATATTTACTCCTTCAACTTCGACGCTATGAGCGCAACACTGTAGTGGTCACATGACCGCTCACATCGATTGTGCTTTGTCCTCCATCCTACATTGGCTTTCCTTCGCATTATGATAAAACTGCATCCTTGCCCTTCAAGGGTTGTAGTGTGCACCTCAACCACCTCATCCCTAGAGCCATGAGAAGAAGGCACTTGTGTGCCAGTCATAGGCAGTAGCGTGCAAGCAAGAGTGGCTCCATAGCCGTCCGAAATCCTATAAAGCCACCCTTCCATGCATGCTTCTACCTATGACAGGCACATAGGTGGAGCCACCATGGAGGCACCCACAACACAGAAAGGAGAAGATATACTCAATGACCTGCTTATGGTAGTCGCTGTTATGGAGCTATGTTCAATCCTTCAACTTGGAAGCTGTGAGCACACACTGTAGTGGTCACTTGACCACTCACGTTGGTTGTGCTTTGTCCCCCATCCTACATTGGCTTTACTTCACTTCAAGATAAAACAGTGCATCCTCACCCTTCAAGGGTTGTAGTGTGCACCTCATCCCTAGAGCCATGAGAAGAAGGCACTTGTGTGCCAGTCATAGGCAGAAGCGTGCAAGCAAGGGTGGCTCCATGGCCATCCAGAATCCCATAAAACCACCCTTCCATGCATGCTTCTACCTATGACAGGCATGTAGGTGGAGGCACCCCCAACATGGAAAGGAGAAAATATCCTCAGTGACCTACTTTTGGTAGTCGCTGTTATGGAGCAATATTCACTTCTTCAACTTCGAGGCTGTGAGTGCACACTGTAGTGGTCACATGACTGCTCATGTCGGTTATCCCCCATCCTATGTTGGCTTTACTTCGCCTATGATAAAACTGTGCATCCTCGCCCTTCAAGGGTTGTAGTGCGCACCTCAAACACCTCATCCCTAGAGCCATGAGAAGAAGGCACTTGTGTGCCAGTCATAGGCAGTAGCGTGCAAGCAAGGGTGGCTCCATGGCCGTCCAGAATCCCATAAAGCCACCCTTCCATGCATGCTTCTGTCAGGTGGAGGCACCCTCAACACGGAAAGGAGAAGATATCCTCAATGACCTACTTATGGTAGTCGCTGTTATGGAGCCATGTTCACTCCTTCAACTTCGAGGCCATGACAGGCACTCAGGTGGAGCCCCCATAGCCCTCAACGCAGAGAAGCCTCAAACGAAGATTGCAAAAAAAGTGTTCGACTGCAGGAAGAGAAACACAAACATGCGAAGTCCCTTTCTGCTATATATCAGATTTCATGTTGAGGGTTTAATAAAACATTACAATGGAATTTTTGTTTTTCTCCTTGTTACTATGAAGCCATGAGCCCATTCTTGAACCTGCCTACTGATAAATATGACATCATAGTGGCTGATTCCATGCTGAGCCATGACGACCGCTCTACCAACCGATGAAAACTAAACCCAAGGTGTGTTTTTGTAATGACATGACCCAAGTTTGTGTTTCAAGGCCAGTCTCGGAACACCTAAAATAATACATCTACCCCCTCCGAAATGTATAGATTTGCGTTGGCCGTGCCTCTTTGCCTGTCAATGGCTTTACATCACCACCTTTACTGTTTACCTTCAGAACCGCTGCCTGCTTCATTCTGCATTCATCACCTTTCTGTTCCCCAAAGTTTGCAGTATATCACCATTCACGTTCGATGCCTTTGCAGAGCTGTCTCTCTTAAAAGACTTCTGTTCTCCAAAGATTCCTGTGGAATATCTGGCTTGGAGGTGGTGGGGGGGGGGCTGGTATAAGGCAAAGGCCTGTCAACCTGCCGAGAATCGTGAAGAATGCCAGATAGGGAGCCTGTAAATGACACATTCCAAGGAGAACTGATGTCATATTTTCTTTTCTAGACCAAATATTTTCACACTTGTCACTCTGATAGTCTTGGGGTAGAAGGAGCGACATCACCGAAAAATTCTTCTTTGGAATTCTTAACCTCTTGCTGCCCACGTAGACGGCCACAGTGCTGCCCATAAGCATCCATGGATGCCCCCTGCATACAGTGAAGGAAATGTGTATTTGCTCCTCTGCTGATGGTGAATGTTCGCCCCTCACACAGAAATGATCGGTCTAACAATGGAATGTTGGCCCCTCACACAGAAATGATCGGTCTAACAATGGAATGTTCGCCCCTCACACAGAAATGATCGGTCTAACAATGGAATGTTCGGTGTAACACTGAGAGACAGAATACAACAACAAATTCAGCAGAAATGCGTCTAACAAATGATGACGGATCTGCATGTTCATGAGGGAAAGAAGGATTTGATCCCCTATCATTCAGCAGGATTTCTGGCTCCCAGGTGTCTCTCATACAGGTAACAAGCTGAGATTAGAAGCAGTCTCTTAAAGGGAGTGCTGCTAATCTCATTGTGTTACCTGTATAAAAGACACCTGTCCACAGGAGCCATCAAACCATCAGATTCCAAACTCTCCACCATGGCAAAGACCAAAGAGCTGTCCAAGGATGTCAGGGACAAGATGGTAGACCTACACAAGGCTGGACTGGGCTACCAAACTATGGCCAAGCAGCTTGGTGAGAAGGTGACAACAGTTGGTGCAATCATTCACAAATGGAAGAAACACAAAACAAGTGTCAGTCTCCCTAGGTCTGGTGCACCATGCAAGATCTCACCTCGTGGAGTGTCAATGATCATGAGAACAGTGAGGAATCATCCCAGAACTACACGTGAGGATCTTGTCAATGATCTCCAGGCAGCTGGGACCACAGTCACCAAGAAAACAATTGGTAACACACTACGCCGACAAGGACTGAAATCCTGCAGTGCCCGCAAGGTCCCTCTGCTCAAGAAAGCACATGTCCAGGCCCGTCTGAAGTCTGCCACTGAACATCTGAATGATGCAGAGGAGGACTGGAGGGAAGTGTTGTGGTCAGAGGAGACCAAAATCCAGCTCTTTGGCATCAACTCGCCGTGTTTGGAGGAGGAGGAATGCTGCCTATGACCCCAAGAACACCATCCCAACTGTGAAACATGGTGGTGGAAACATTCTGCTTTGGGGGTATTTTTCTGCTAAGGGGACAGGACAACTGCACCGCATCAAAGGGACGATGGACGGGACAATGTACCATCAAATCTTGGGTGAGAACCTTCTTCCCTCAGCCAGGGCATTGAAAATGGGTGGTGGATGGGTGTTCCAGCATGACAATGACCCAAAACACACGGCCAAGGCAACAAAGGAGCGGCTCAAGAAGAAGCACATTAAGGTCCTGGAGTGGCCTAGCCAGTCTCCAGACCTTCATCCGATTGAAAATCTGTGGAGGAGCTGAAAGTTCGAGTTGCCAAACGTCAGCCAGCAAACCTTAATGAATTGGAGAGGATCTGCCAAGAGGAGTGGGCCAAAATCCCTCCTGAGATGTGTGCGAACCTGGGGGCCAACTCCAGTTAACGTCTGACCTCTGTGATTGCCAACAAGGGATTGGCCACAAAGTAGACGCATTTCTTCTGAATCTGTTGTATTCTGTCTCTCACTGTTACAATACACCGAACATTCGATTTTTAGACCGATCATTTCTTTGTGAGGGGCGAACATTCAGCATCAGCAGGGGAGTAAATACGCATTTCCTTCGCTGTAGCTGTGGGCCTAGCCTTAGGAGGACAGGATTGGGCCATGTAGGAGAGTTTATGTGACCCTTTCCTGGCCTGTAC